TATATATATATGAAGAGATATCAGCAACAGCAGTAATCAGCTTTTTTTATAGGTGGCTGATATTTCTTTGTTCGATAAATGCCATAAAAGGGACGCCGTCGAGCCACTTGCACAACGTTAATGCACCGTGTTCTTTTAGGACATCAACTTGCGTCCCTTGATTTTTAAAGGCTACAACCCCAAATTGAACTAGTTTGAATATTTTTCTTAAAACTCAACACACACACACATATATATATCTCTATATCTATATCTATATATATACTACACGTACATGTTTGTTCTCCTTTTTGCTTGGTGGGTTCTCTCTCTCTCTATATATATAGAGAGAGAAAGGATGGTAGGCTTGAGAAGAAGGCAAATTGATGTCAATTTTCAAAAGAACCACTCTCCCATCCCATCTTATTCCATCAATCCAAACAAGACTTCTTCCATCTCTAAATTGAAACCAAATATACCCTTTGAAATTTCTTCATATGTTCCAGTCATATTAGGGAAACCCAATTCCACTAAAGTCTTAGTGTTTGTTAGGGCCTCCCCACCTTGTTCCTCTTCAAAAATTTTTGGAGATTAATTCTTAAAGTTGATCTATCGCATCTTCGCCGCATTTTTTTTTATATGTTTTACGAGAAATCTTCAGGGTAATTACCATTTCTGAGCGAAGATTCAGACGTTATTTCACGTGAATTGAAAAATTCAAATTCCTTATATTTACAAAAATTACAATTTTCATACTGACCCATTAGCTCACATAGGCCAGTGATATTCGATATGGATGTTGTCGTGCCTATTCATTTCTTACGAAAAATACGTACTACCTATCTCTTAACAAATGCGATATTATTTGGTCCCCATTTAATGAATTAATTTGTTTTATTCAATGTCTTCATTTATATTAACCGATAGTCTTAAAATTTAATACATCAAAATAAAAAATCACACGTAACATGAATATATAATTTTATATTTTCAATCACTTTCAACAACTAGTTAATTGTCCAACATTTATTTCATTCTTTTTTTTTTACCATTTTTTAATTAAATAATTTTAATAATATCACGTACGTAGAAAATTCAAACATACGATAAGTTATAAAGTCACATCATTCTCATTATCATTGCGCAAATTATTCAAAAAGTACGATATAAATACTTAACCTAAATAAGTACACTAACATTCTTATTTTTAGACATAAATGGTTGTAGTACTTTTGTATGATTTTTTATAAATTATGATTAGATCTTTCTTTTAATTAATTTAATTAATTAATTAATTAACTAAATGTTAACTATTTATATTGGGATTACAGAGATTTGTATAAAAAAAAAAAAAAATTCTTGGAATTTCATCTAAAAAAAGCTTTTAACTAACCATGATTTGAAAATTAATACTTACTAATCAATAGATTAACTAAAACTAATCTGCCCTAAATGTTTTAATTAAATAATCCTTTTATTTTCACGTTGACTTCTCTGAAAAGTGAGGTTCCCAATTGGGGAATGAATTTTTTTTTTTTTAAAATATATTATTATTAAATGATACACATATATTAATTATAATAAAATAAAATTAATTTATAAATAAAAATTTATACGATTTGTAATTCTCACCCTTAATTTTTTATAAGAAAAAAAGTATTAATTATTTATTAAATTTTTTATGACACTGAGTTTAACGTGAGTTTTGATATACGTATCGGACTATTAATTTAATGAATTTATTTAAAAGTAATCAAATACGGTTAAAATAGTATTGGAGCTTAATGTATCGGATTTAAGTACGAGTTTACAATGTACAGATGTCATTTTTGTAATATTATCATTCTATGATGGACGAAATAAGAATTGTAAAAGTTTGTTGATATAAAAGGCGATTATGATTTCTGAATTACAAGGTTTTCTATAATTCCGTCACCAGAAAAAAAGTTAATTTTTGACGCATCATGTTGATTCAGAAGATTCTACTCCCGGACGCGAATAATTTTTTCGTGGTAGATCCAGGTACGCTTCTACTTACATTTTTCATTAATTCAGTGCGAGATTGTGCGTTTAATTTTTATAGATCTACATATTTAAAAAATATTTTTATTCTAACATTATTCAATTAAATAATGATAAGATTAAATGGTCGATTTCTAATTTTTTTTTTAAAAAGGAAGAAAACAACGGTGATGATCAGAGTCAAAGTCAACGGAGGATACTGAGATCAAAAACCACAAGGTGGGTTTCTCCTATTAAGACTTGCTACCAGTTTTTAGAAATTTTATTCATTTAATTTTTTAATAAAAAGCAAAACGAATAATATATCAAAGGAAAAAACAATATGATCTACCTACCAAATATGTATATATATATATATATATATACATATAAAAATAACACATGATTAAAATAAAACTTGATCATACGGCCATTACTATTATGCATATTCTATGTGTGTGTATATACATATATAAATATATATATATTCAGATCATACCTATCCGTGATCAGCTGCATGACTCTGCCTATATGTAAAACTAACCTTTAAATATTAATTGTTGCCAAGTCCAGAAAATTAAAATTAAAAGACATGTAGAAAAAAAAAAAATACCATTTATTACCCAAGAAGAATTGCTCAAATGGAAATCGTGTCATATAGTATATCTATATATATATGTATATATATATATATACATACATACACATACACACACACACATT